ACCACCATGGTGTGAACAAGTCCTAAGGGTCAGTTCACACTATAGAAACAGTCTAGATGTGTTCCTGATGCGTTTTTTTCATGCCCTTTTGGCATGCATGTTTAGTGTGTTCCAGTACATTTTGGATGCCTTTTGGACAGTTGCATTGCATTTTTGTATCCCTTCCAGTTAGTTTTTTCTACTTTCTTTTTATTCAATTTAATTAGGGACATGTGCGTTTTAGTACATTCAAGGACGTTTCAATGTGTTCCAGTACAGTTCTGTGCAGAAACAATGCAGCGTGGTCAATTTGTTTACAGCACCTGCAATGCACTGAAATGAAAGTGCTGATGTGAACTAATACATTAACAACCATATTACCTTCTTTGCGTGAATGCGAAAAAAGCAACTGAAACACATGTAGTGTGAACTGGCCCTAAAGATTATTAGAGGTCAGGGAACGGGACTGACCAGGGATTGTGAAATTCAATCAGACTAGTGGTGAGATACAATCAGGAATCCTATAATAATGTGAGATCTGAGCTGTAGCTGATATAAAATGAGACACATTCTCTTGATCAGTAAATAGTTAAAAAGAGTGGGGCGGTGATCCATAGATTTGCATATGGGACAGGTGATGATGGGGTGGGGGAGGGGGACAAGTTGTATAAGAAGACAGGTTTTAAAAAAGATAAAAAAGTTACAATGAAATATACACAGCATGAAACTTGCACATTTCCAACTTGTCAGAAGAACGGGATGCAGGTAAGAGTCACTCCCTTTCCACTTTTTAGTCATTAGGCAAAATCATAATTGATTGATCAATATTCCTGTCACTGACCGAACCCAGAAAATGTATCTCCATTTTTTTTAACATTCATAAATGTCAAGGAGCTTATAATCTAAGGGCAAAAAACTCAGCCATGTACTAGGCCCAATGATCCTAACAGCATGTCTTTGGAGTGTTTGGCAGAAACACATCCATACAGAGAAAGCATGCAAACTGGGATGCAGCCATGACTGGGATTAGAACCCATGACCCAAGTGCTGTAAGTTCTGAGTTCTAACCACTCAAGCCACTGTAGGAGACACAGTTTGAGCTGTAAAGTAGAATAGTTACATTGTTTAAAACTGATAAAGCGAGCGCTGGTCAAATGATATAGACTACTAAAATGGTATTACACAAGATCAATATAAATCTAGGTATAGATATGAAGGTAGCAGCTAGCACTCAGGGTATTGGCAACAGTCCCAGAATAGAAATATGTTACAGTAATAGTGCAGCGCTATAAATGCATGTTATCAATCATCAACGCATGGAAAATCCAAAAAGTGCAATAATTTATTTTATTTCAGGTACTTACAGTCAGGTCCATAAATATTGGGACATGGACACAATTCAAACATTTTTGGCTCTATACACCACCACAATGGATTTGAAATGAAACAAACAAGATGTGCTTTAACTGCAGACTGTCAGCTTTAATTTTAGGGTATTTACATCCAAATCAGGTGAACGGTGTAGGAATTACAACAGTTTTCATATGTGCCTCCCACTTGTTGTTGATGTCCCAATATTTATGGACCTGACTGTACATAGCGCTATCAATTTACACAGCGCTTTACACATACATTGTACATTCACATCAGTCCCTAACCCTCAAGGGGTGTACAATCTAAGGTCCCTAACTCCCATATACTAGGGCCAATTCGGACAAGAATCAATTCACCTACCAGCATGTCTTTGGAGTGTGGGAGAAAACTGGAGTACTCGGAGGAAACCCACGCAAGCACAGGGAGAACATGTAAACTCCATGCAGGAGGTGCCACGGTTGGGAATCGAACCCATGACCTATTTACTGCAAGGCAGACATGCTAATCATTAAGTCACTGTGCTGCCCATTAATGATGATGTAAAATGGTAAATGGTGCTAAAAAAAAAGTTCATCTAATCATTCGTGAATAATGGAATGTCCTTGGTGTGAGAGTACCAACTCAGGGAGTGCCTATGAATGGCACGTGTGGTTTATCCATGACGGACAGTAGTGCATGAACTGGTGAAAGGTCATCCACCCTTGTGACAGTGTACTACACTATTAAGCACCTTTCTGGCTCCTGTGGCTGAGCTAATTCCTCCCCCAGGACCATTTGGGCACCCACCCTGATGGATGGATGGATGGATGGAGCTGGATGACTAACCCATAGCTGCCAGCATACCGCTGCACCCCCAGATGTGTGATGTGTATAACCCATGCGCAGTAATACCTTAACATAGAATAGTTACATGATTACAGAGAAGGAAGAGATATCATTATATTGGGAACTCAGAACTAGACATTCCCAATTATTTGAGATATAAGTGTGAAAATGTTTAACATCTGAAAATAGAATGTATGACATTCATTAGGAAATGCATCAGTTGTCTCATCATTCTGGAGAAACAGCAAAAAAACAATTCTAATCTCGGTGTACTAATTATGTTACATTCTAAGTATTCTCTTATGCCAACAGGAAAGCACCAATGGTACAAAGCCCGCGCTTGTGCGCCATCTAGCGAACATATCCGGTATTGCACCTAAAAATGTGCCAGACGCGATTCCACATTTACTAATAGTAAAGTAGACGTTTATCAATGAGATTGCTAGACGTCGCTCAGAGGACTGACAGGTCCTCATTGATTTAACTGAGTCTGCCTGAATGGTCAGAGTCTGCTGGTAGACTCAATTTTTAGTAAATCAGGCCATACACTTTACCAACCGATCAGTGACTGCTGCCCCTCTCTGCCAATCCCTTCACTGACTTCCACTAACCCAGTGTTTCTCAACTCCAGTCCTCATGGACCCCCAACAGGTCATGTTTTCAGGATTTCCATTATTTTGCACAGGTGATTTGATCAGTTTCACTGCCTTAGTAATTACCACAGCTGTTTCATCTGAGGGAAATCCTGAAAACATGACCTGTTGGGGGTCCATGAGGACTGGAGTTGAGAAACACTGCACTAACCCAACATATAAAATTCAAAATACTAACCACAACTTACAAAGCCATCCACAACACTGCCCCTAGGTACATCACCAACCTCATCCACAGATACCACCCCGAAATCGCCAGCTCTGCTCCCCCCATGATATCCTCCTCTCTATCTCCCTCATCACCTCCTCCCATGCTTGCCTCCAGGACTTCTTCAGAGCCTCTCCCATCCTCTGGAACTCCCTACCACAGCATGTCCAGTCAGCCCCCACCCTATCTGCCTTTAGATGATGTTTGAAAACCCACTTATTCAAGGAAGCCTACCCCACCCCCACCTAAGAACTGTACTTGAATCACCTCCACCAGATCATCCCCCGCAGCTATCACCTTTTGTATCACCTCCCCCTTCCTTCAGATTGTAAGCTCCACGGGCCAGGCCCTCCTATTCCTTCTGTACTGAAATGTATTGTAATTGTACCGCCCCCCCCCTTATATTGTACAGCGCTGCGCAGACTGTTGGTGCCATAAATCCTGTATAATAATAATAAACACATAGAAGACCCTGTAACACCCCTATGTTGGAGGAAGACTACGCCCAAAAAAGACCACCAATTATTAGTGACATCCAAATCTCAATTCAGTATTAGAGATGGATTACTGATAAGAACATCCAAAAATGGTGTCCAACAATGGGGGGTCCCCACTATATGTAGAGGACTCAGGTTACAACATCTCATTACACAGAGCATTGAGGTCGGCTTGTAAGTTGGAGACATCCTGTAAGGACGTTATTCCCCGGCACAGCTTGGTGTCATCTGCAAAGACTGGAATGGGGTTTATAATCTCACACCCCATATTGTTTATATATATATTAATAAGTAAGGGTCCCAACACTGAACCCTGGGGTACCCCACTAATAACACTGAACCTTGGGGTACCCCACTAATAACACTGAACCTTGGGGTACCCCACTAATAACACTGACTGAACCCTTGGGGTACCCCACTAATAACACTGAACCTTGGGGTACCCCACTAATAACACTGAACCCTTGGGGTACCCCACTAATAATACTGACCCTGAACCTTGGGGTACCCCACTAATAATACTGAACCTTGGGGTACCCCACTAATAACACTGAACCTTGGGGTACCCCACTAATAACACTGAACCCTGGGGTACCCCACTAATAACACTGAACCTTGGGGTACCCCACTAATAACACTGAACTACACTGAACTGGGGTACCCCACTAATAACACTGAACCTTGGGGTACCCCACTAATAACACTGAACCTGGGGTACCCCACACACTAACCTTGGGGTACCCCACTGATAACACTGAACCTTGGGGTACCCCACTAATAACACTGAACCCTTGGGTACCACCACTAATAACACTGAGCCTTGGGGTACCCCACTAATAACACTGAACCTTGGGGTACCCCACTAATAACACTGAACCATGGGGTACCCCCACTAATAACACTGAGCCTTGGGGAACACCACTAATAACACTGAACCTTGGGGTACCCCACTAATAACACTGAACCTTGGGGTACCCCACTAATAACACTGAACCTTGGGGTACCCCACTAATAACACAGCCTTGAACACTTGGGGTACCCCACTAATAACACTGAACCTTGGGGTACCCCACTAATAACACAGCCTTGGGGTACCCACTAATAACACTGAACCTTGGGGTACCCCACTAATTACACTGAACCTTGGGGAACCCCACTAATAACACTGATCCTTGTGGGTACACCACTGACACCCCACAGACCATTCAGAGTATGAATCATTAACCACTACTCTCTGAATACCATCTTTTAGTCAGTTTTCTATCCATTTACATTCAGATTTTTCCAGCCTGTAGACTTTACCTTACACATTAGCCGTGTGTGGAGAACTGTGTCCAAGTATACCACGTCCACCGCCACCCCTCTGTCCAAGTATACCACGTCCACCGCCACCCCTCTGTCCAAGTATACCACGTCCACCCCACCCCTCTGTCCAAGTATACCACGTCCACAGCCACCCCTCTGTCCAAGTATACCACGTCCACCGCCACCCCTCTGTCCAAGTATACCACGTCCACCGCCACCCCTCTGTCCAAGTATACCACGTCCACAGCCACCCCTCTGTCCAAGTATACCACGTCCACCGCCACCCTTGTCCAAGTATACCACATCCACCGCCACCCTCTGTCCAAGTATACCACGTCCACCGCCATCCCTCTGTCCAAGTATACCACGTCCACCGCCACCCCTCTGTCCAAGTATACCACGTCCACCGCCACCCCTCTGTCCAAGTATACCACGTCCACTGCCATCCCTCTGTCCAAGTATACCACATCCACCGCCACACCCTCTGTCCAAGTATACCATGTCCACCGCCACCCCTCTGTCCAAGTATACCATGTCCACAGCCACCCCTCTGTTCAAGTATACCACATCCACTGCCACCCCCCTTTGTCCAAGTATACCACGTCCAAAACCAGCCCTCTGTCCAAGTATACCACGTCTACCGCCACCCCTCTCGCCAATTACACCACGTCTACTGCCACCCCCTCTGTCCAAGTACACCACGTCCACCGCCACTTCTCTGCCCAAGTATACCATGTCCACCGCCACCCCCTCTGTCCAAGTACACCACGTCCACCGCCACTTCTCTGCCCCAGTATATCCATGTCCACCGCCACCCCTCTGTCTGAGTATACCACGTCCACTGCCACCTCTCCTTCTGTCTGAGTGTACCACACCCACTGCCACCCCAATCTGTCCAAGTATACCACGTCCAGTGCCACCCCTTTGTCCAAGTATGATACCACGTCCACAGCCAGCCCTCTGTCCAAGTATACCACGTCCACAGTCAACCCTCTGTCCAAGTATACCACGTCCAACCGCCAGGCATGGCTGGGCAAAACCACATTTTAAAACAAGTGTTTTTTAAAACAGGTAGGGGGTGCACGCGAGGCCGCAGATGTCAGTCGCCAGGTCACAGACAGTTGTTACCGGCTATGTCCCGCAATCGGCGGCAATCGCTGACAGAGAGCACAGCTGCAGTAGCTGTGCTTTCTGTCAGTTCCCTGACAGCTCCAGGACACGCTGATCAGGACAGAAGAGTTTCTCTCTCCCCGATCAGCAGCGTTCCCTGCAGTACACACACCCCCCCCCTAGTAAAACACTCCCCCTTACACAGTTAACCCTTCCCTGAAAAATAAACTTAACCCCTTCCTCCCCAGTGCCATTAGTACAGTGTCAGTGTTTTTTTTTTTGCACTGATCACTGTATTGGTGTCACTGGGGATGTCAGTGACCCCAAGTCAGTTCCCCCCAGTGCCAAAATGTCCACCGCAGTCCCGCAGTCCAACCATAAGTCGCTGATCGCCGCCATTATTAATATAAAAAAAAACCCTAAAAATCCCAGTATCTTTCCGCCATTTGTAAACGCTATAAACTTTCACGTAAACCAATTAATTTACAACGTATTGTTTTTTTTTTTAGCAAAGACGTCGCAGAATGCATTTTGGCAGAAATTTATGACGAAATTGATTTTTAAATTTTTTTTTACTGGACATGTTTTATAGCAAAAAGTCCAAAATATTGTTTTTTTTCCCTCAAAATTGTCAGCCTTTTTTTTTATAGCGCAAAAAATAAAAACCGCACAGGCAATCAAATACCACCGAAAGAAAGCTCAATTTGTGGGAAAAAAAAAAGGATGTAAATTTAATTTATGTACCGCATTGCATGACCGCGCAATTGTCCGTTAAACTAGTGCAGCGCTGTATAGCAGAAAAATGGTGTAAATTGCAGTATCTATCCCATAGTTTGTAGACGCTATAACTTCACACAAAGCAATCAATATACACTTATTGGGATTTTTTTACCAAAAACATGGAGCAGAATACATTTTGGCCTAAATTTATAACTAACTTTGAGTTTACTATATATTTTTTATAGCTGAAAGTAAAAAATATTGTTTTTCTTCAAAATGTTTGGCCTTTTTTTGGTTATAGCGTGAAAAATAAAAAGCGCACTGGTGATCAAATACCACCAAAAGAAAGCTCTATTTGTGTGAAAAAAAGGATGTAAATTTTGTTTGGGTGCAGCATTGCATGACCGCGCAATTATCAGTTGAATTAGTGCAGCGCCGAGTAGAAAAAAGAGGCGTGGTCATTAAAGGGGGGTAAATCCTCTGGAGGGCGAGGGGTTAAGATTTACGGTAACTAGCGATCTGGAATCAGATTCATTTTCTTGACCTCATATTATATAAAAGCGATGGTGAAATTTTTGACTAAAACTTTTTTCAAGGAAGTTGATAAAAATAGCTATATTCCTGCAATTAGTGGACACCATCCTGGATGGCTTCACAATACACCTAGGAGCCAATTGTAGTGAAAACAGACTATATCAATCAAACAGATATTATTATTGACAGATTTGTGGAGAAGGGATATGAGAGGCCATTTCTTCTTAAAGAAAGAAATTTCATTAATGAAAAAAATAGAGAGTCCCTTTTGAATAATAAGTTATCTAAGGAATTTGAGAACAATATCAGCTTTTTTACCAATTTTAATATACAATATCGTAAGGTTGAAAGAAGTTTTAAAAAATATTGGCCTATTTTGTTACAAGATGTATCATCTTGTAACAAAATTAAAGAAAATTATTCCTAAAAAAAACAATATTTGTCTATAGGAAAAATAGGTCATTAAGGACAAGAAGAGCCCAGAATGTTATAGATCCCCTAAAAGAGTAGAGTTATTTCCAGATTTAAAAGGTTTCTTTTATTGCAACAAA